TTATTCTCCAAAGCCATTTCAATTGATAGGGTTCTGAGATACTCATTCACTACTAATTTTCAAGAATGCTAATTGCATCATTGTGCCATTTGAATGGAGGATAATGCTTCTGACAGGGAGAAAGGTTCTAATAAGGGACTGGTATAGTGGTTAGAGTGCTGGATATGAATGCAGGAAGACCTGAGTTCAAATCCTGCCACACAAGGGTCATAGGCTGTGTGACCCTAGGGAAGTCATTTAACCTCTTAGTGCCTCAGATTCCTTATCCACAAGATGAGTGGGAAACTGGATTCACTGATCTCTAAGGTCTCTTTCAGCTCTAAAATCTACAATCTTTTCCTCTTCTAACTTTGTAAGTTCATCCCCCCCCCACGCCTATGGCTCCCCACCCACAGATGGATGGGGACTACAGTATTTTTGTTGGTATGGGAAGAATGGTTCTAGGTCCCCCAAGTCATCAATGTGGCCAAAAATATCCAAATCCAATCTAGGTTGATTCCATAGTCCCTCAGTCTGTCTGGGGCATGAGCAATCCATATTTCCATGATGCTTTAGATAGGCTAAAGTTTGTACTAGGGGAAGATTGTTTGAAGGAGCTTACCCAGCAATCCTGCCCACAGAGCTGCTCCTGTGTGAACCAGGGCTGGGCAGGGAGCATAAAGTCCAATTGAGAATCTCTGGGAAGAGAAAATTGCCTGGGCTGATTGAGAGAAAGAGTGGGGAGCTGCCTTGGGGAAAAGCTTGAAATTTGGAGAGGAGGAGGGGCTGGGCAAGTTAATCCCTGTGAGTGCAGCCCAGGCTGGTGGTATAGTTGGGGAGGTGGGAAGGGCTGGGAGGGCAATGAGGAGCTTCAGCTGCCAGGCTGCAGTCCTAGAATCATGGAATCTTCCAATCACAGACCCTCAAATTTAGAGGGGACTGCAGATGCCTCGTTCCTGCCTAGGCCTCAGCACCAATCGCCTGTACAACATTCAGGACTTATGGGCATCCAGCCAGTGCTGGAGAACTGAGTCTTTTCCTCCTAAGGCAGCCACTTCCACTTTGGAGCAGCTACATTAGAGGGAGAGCAGTGATTTCAGCCTGATCCCCTTCCTATCTCCAAATTAGAGAGTCCTCAGAGCCACTCAATCCTCCCTCCCCTCTCCCCACCATAGAGGGCTAGAAGTGTCATTTCTGGGTATCAAGGAAACCTGTCCACAGAGATCCATCCTAGGACCCAGTCCTGGAAGCCGTGTCAGAGGGGGTACTGGAACACCATAGTGGTCAAGTGAATTGTCATGGTTACCTAGGTTACTTGAACCTTAGAAAGTCGGAGCCAGGATTCCAAACTAGGCCCTCTGACTCAAACCCAGTGTTCTGTCCGTTATATGGCAGCTGCCTGTCACTTCAGGGAGTGGAGGAAGAGGTAAATAGGCTTAAATAATGTCCAGATGTAGATGAGGATCTGTCTGCATGGGAAACCTTGTCTAGGAACTATTCTGGGGAGGAGGAAGTGAGGGTTGCTGGAGGGAAGGCCCTTATCTCCATGAGATCAGATCTAACCACGGTTCCCTCCAGGACCAAGGCAGGGAAGCTGCAGACAGAGTCACTCAGGTTGGGGGTAGGAGGGCTTGTCCTAGGGAGGCTGGCAACTCAACCCTAAAGAATTAATGAATGAGACAGTGACCTCTAGAGAGCCCTGTAAGGGAGAGAGTAGGGAAGGAGAATTGAAAGTTCATAGATTTAAAGTGGAGGAGGCCCTTGGAGATCATTTTAACCCCAGAGAGAAGGAGGAGGTTGTCAAGTGAATAGACAGAACATTTAGAAAATAATGATATTTCATTAATGAAGTTACAAAAGTGTTGGTGTACCCTTGGAGAAGGAAAGTTAATCTTTTAGTTTTAATAAGAATATGTAGTCAGATTTCACATTGAATAAGAGACATGGGAAAGTTTACTGAAAAGCCAAGGAGTCTGGGGCCTGAAAAGGTAGGGAACACATCCATGCTCTGAACCAACCATGTGAACCACTGCACAGAGGAGGAATGGTATGGAGCCCAGTCCTGACTCCAAACACTTTCTGCTACACTCAGCCCAGGCCAGATTCCTACTTCTTCTCACTTTCTATAACCAAACATTATCTGGTAGGCTCCCCTACTTTGGCCCTCTATTCTCCTAGCACACACAGGCAGGCTGTGTCTCCAGCAGGACCAAATCAAGGCAAGCCACACAATTTCTCCTGAGGGTTAAAACTGGATGGTAATCTCCAGAAAGGTCAAAATCATTAGAGAGGATCTAGTCTGGGCATTTCTTCTCCTCTCTCTATCTTCTTTTTTTTTCACTGAATAACTTTTTAAAAAATTATTGTTTATTCATTATTAACATTCTTTTTGTTTTAAATTTTGAATTCCAAATTCCCTCCCTCCTTCTAGCTCCTCCTCCAACCACTGAGAGGCAAGAATATATCAATCCTTGATGTAAAATCATCCAAAACCTCTTTCCATATTACCATATATATATATATATATATATATATATATATATATATATATATATATATATATATAAAACAAGAACAGTAAAGAAAGTGAAAATTATGATTCAAAATTCATCAGTTCTCTCTCTACAGGAGGATACTACTTTTTCATCATGAGTCCTTTGGAATTGTCTTGATCATTGTATTGATCAGAGCAGCTAAGTTGTTTATAGTTGATCATCATTACAACATTGCTGCTGTTTCTGTACACTATGATCTCTTGTTTCTGGTCATGTCACATTGCATGAATTCATATGAGTCTTCCAAGTTTTTTCTGAGACCATTTCCCTGTTCATTTCTTATGGCACAATAGTACCCATTCAGAATCATATGCCACAATTTGTTCAGCCATTCCACAATTAATGAGCATCTCCTCAATTTCCAATTCTTTGCCATCTCAAAAAGAGTTGTTATAAATATTTTTGTATGTATATGTGTGCGTTTGTATATATGTGTGTGTGTGTGTGTATGCATGTACACACATATATGCACACATGTACATACATATATATGCACCTATATACATGCATACACACAGATATATACATATATGCACACAGACATGTATACTTATACAAACACACATCTATATTTATGATCTAGAATGTCCTTTTCCTTTTCTTTTGATTTCTTTGGATACAGACCTGGTAGTGGTATTGCTGGGTCAAAGGGTATACACAGTTTTATAGTCTTTTGGGCATAATTCAAAATTGTCCTCCAGAGTGCTGAGACTAGCAGACAACTCCAGTAATGATTGATTAGTATGTTTATTTTCTTTCATCTCCTCCAGCACTTGTCATTTCTGATAGATGCGAGGTGGTACCTCACAGGTGTTTTCAATTTCATTTCTCTAAGAATTAGTGATTTAAAACACCCTTTCTCACCACTATAAAAAGCTTTGATTTCTTCTGAAAGCTCCCTGCTAATGTCTCTTGAGTCCTCATCAATTGGGGCATGGCTCTAATTTTTACAAATTTGACTCCCAAATATATTTGTGATAGGAGATATTTATCAGAGAAACTTGCTATGTGCTTTTTGATATTACTTCATTATCTGTGGTACCTTTTATTAAAATTATAATTTCCCTGACTAACTCTTATAATTAGGTCTATTTTTGCTTTGTCTCAGGTTACTATGTGTATCTCTGCCTTTTTTACTTCAGCTGAAGCTTAACAGATTCTGATCCCATTTCTTCTTTTAACTCTGTTTGTGTCTTTATGTGTCAATTGCATTTCTTATAAGCAATATATTGTTGGATTCTGGTTTCTAATCGATCCTGCTTTCTATTTTTGTTTTATGGGTGAGATCATTCCTTTCAAATTTATAGTTATGACTACTAACTGCTTACTTCCCTCCATCCCATTTTCTTCCATTTCTTCTTCTCCCTCTCTTTTTATCCTGTCCCTCCTCAAAGGTCTGTTTTGCTTCTAACCACTGCCTCCCTTAATCTGTCTTCCTTTTGTCATTCCCCCTTTCTCTTATCCCCTTCTCCTATAATTTCCCTTTTGGATAAGAGAGATTTCTATATGCAACCAAGTGTGTATATGTACAATCATCCCTCTTAGAACCAATTCTGGTGAGAGTGAGGTTCAAGCATTTCCCACTAACTCCCCCGCCATTTCACCTTGTAAATGCTTTTCTTTTCACATGTCTTTTATGTGAGAAAAATTTCCCCATTCTATCTCTCCCTCCCTACTTCAAACAGTACCTTCCTCTTTCTCATTCCTTCATTTTTTTCTGAGGTCACCTCAACATAATCAACTCACACAGATGACCTCTAACTATGTAAACTCCTTCTAACTGCCCTTATAATAATAAAGATCTTATCATTTACATGTATCACCCCCACATAGAGGAATCTAAACAATTTATCCTTACTGAATCCCTTATCAGTTCTCTTTTCTGTTTATGTTTTTCTGCTTCTCTAGTCTTGTGTTTAGGAATGCTTAAACTTTTTCTATTTCATCAAATTTCCATTGTTCCCCCTGAATGATTTACTCAGTTTTGCTACATAGTTTATTCTTCATTATAATCCTAGCTCTTTGCCTTCCCAAATACCATATTCCAAACTCACTGCTCCTTTAACATGGAGGCCACTAACTCTTGTGTGATCCTGACTCTGGCTCCATGATATTTGAATTGTTTCTTTTGTGGTTGCTTGTAATATTTTCTCCTTCATCTGGGAGCTCTGGAATTTGGCTATTTTCCTGGGAGTTTTCATTTTGGGATCTCTTTTAGGAGGTGATAGATTTTTTCCCCCCATTTCTATTTTACCCTCTAGATCTAAGATATTAGGGAAGTTTTCTTTGATAATTTCTTAAAATCATGCCTAGGCCTTTTCTGTGATCATGGGTTTCTGGAGTCCAATAAGTCTTAAATTATCTCTCCTCCATCTATTTCCCAAATCAATTGTTCTTCTGATGAGATTTGTCATATTTCCTTCTATGTTTTTTTATTCTTTGACTTTGTTTTATTGTAGGAAGCAAGCCACCCTCCACTGAAACAGGCTGTGGATGGAAGGGCCAGTGTTGGGAAGCAAGTACTGGCCACCACTTTCCAGACCCGTACCTAAGACAACACTGCAAGTCACAGTGACTATCAAGCGTGTGGGGGAGGAGGAAGAAGGGAAATAGCCCACTGGCGGTAATTGTTCATTTGTATTAACTATATGTGAACTGGTGCCCAGCAGGGTGCCATCTCCCAACCTTTCTTTCAATGCTCCGATGCCCTAGCCCTGCTGAAGGGAGCCCTGAATCCCTGATCCATTCTGACCCTTATGCCTGCTCCCCTCCACCTTCTTAATAGTGGTAGAGGCAGTCCCCTCCAGACTCCCAACTCTGCAAGGCAGGCTCCCTGATGTGTTCTAGGGAGTCCTGGCCCTTGCCACTTGCCCTACCAGTGGCGCCCTTAGTGGCTCAGGCCTTTCCCTCCACCTTGCAGGTGACCCTTTCTGTGTGCATTGGTCTTCCCAATTAGAGTGAGAGTTCCTTCAGAGCACTAACTCTCTTTATATACTTGTAATGGCAGCTTTTAGCATGGTTCTTGGTACATAGTAAGTAAGCACTTAACCTATGCTCTTTCATTCATGCATTCATTAATTCAATTGTTCATTCCTTTACTTTTCAAGAAAACTACTGGGTTTTGAGCCTTGGGAACCTGTGTGCTTCTCAGAAAAGCTGATACTGCTGGTGGAGGTGGGTGGGAGTAGATTGACTAATGCTGAAATTCTCATATTGTCTGGAGGGGTGGGGTTGGGGGCAGAAAAGGTCAGGGACATGAAAGGTCTTTGATGGTATCTGCACTGTTCATTACAAGGGGGAGCATCTGACCAAGGGTCATCCTCCTATGTTGTCCTTTTGTATAAGAATAAATTCATCAGAGACTCAAGTTTCCAGAGGACACATGGACCAAGTACTCAGCTGCATGGCATATCAAGAGAGTGAGGTCTCCTAGAGGGCACAGGGCTGTGAGTGACTGAGACCACACATATAGGTCTTCCACTGTGAGTGAATGTGTGTGTATGTGTATGTATGTGTGTTTGAGTATGTGGGACGGTTTCTGTGAGAATGGGTGGCTTTGTGCTAGAGGGAGAGCAGGAGGGAAGTGAGAGAGCACAGTCCAGCAGAGACAGTTCCCTACTTTCCTTTGTCTCTCCTCCTACCACTCTTTCATCCTTCAGCCTCAAAACCTCAATATACTCCCTGTGTTCCTGGTGGAGACCCTAGACACTGGCTTCTACCCTATTTCTCATCTCTCTTCTAAGCCTGTGCCATTGAGGGAGGGAGGGAGGCAGAAGGGCAGCAGCTGCCCTGGGGCTCATTCCCCCCTTCTGTAAGGGAGGCAGCATCCCTAAGGCGGGGGCAGCAGGAAGGAAGGGTGGTGCTGCTCAGCCTTGAGGGCTTCAAAAGGGGACACAGAGGGAAAGGGAGTAGCATCTCTATCCCCTCTGGGAAGGTTGGGGCTCTGACCCCTCTTTTCCTTGCCTGTCCATCAGGAGAAGGTTAGATGTTTGTGTTTGTGCTTGTGTGTGTGTGTGTGTGTGTGTGTGTACACTTGACATCTTTGTCCAGCGCTCCTGGCCTAGCCATGTAGCTGTCTTAGCTAGGGTGATTTCAGGTTGCATTAATACAAGCATGCAATGGAGCCTGAGGTAGATAATACAGGACCAATCTGGGAGTCCGGAAGACCTGGGCCCAAGTCCTACCTACTGGCTTGGCCATGTGACCACAAGCAAATCATTTAATCCCTCTGTCCCACACAACTCTGTAATCCCTGGCCGACTGACATAAGCAGCAGTGTTCTTAAAGTTGCAGTGCTCCCACACTAGTAATATCACAGGGCTGGATAAAATAATCATGCAGAGAATCAAAAGAACTCTCTGTGGTCCTGGTCAGACCACACCTAGAATATCATGTTCACTTCTGGGATCCACATTTAGGAAGGATATTAACAGACAGGGATGGTAAGGGGCCTGGAAACCTCACTTTGTGAGGAACAGGTGAAAGGAGCAAAGTCATGTGGTGGAAGGATGTATGTAGAATGAATGTAGAGTCAGGACCTCAACTGGAACTCCTGACAGCCTGTGTGACCCTGAGCAATTCACTGAACTCCCTCTTTAGGCCTGTTTCCTGTAGTTTAAGCAGAGGGGATTGGACTCCACCAGCTCTAAATTCCATAAATCTATAAGTGGGTGTTATTCCACTCTGAAAAGAGAAGACAGTGGAGGCAGTGGTAGCTGTGGTCATAAATCTGAAGGACTGTCATAGGCCAAAGGGATTAGATTTTGTTGTGGATTCAGAATAGAAACCTAAGGATGAAGGGGAAAAACAAAGCTCCTGGAATATAGTAGGTGCTTAATAAATATTTTTGGGATTGATTGTTTAATGAATTGATTATAGTGATGCAGGCTTCTCTTCACATAATGAACAACAGAACTTTTCAAAGGAATGACCTAGGTCGGGAGGTAGTGAGCTCCCCATTACTGAAGGACTCCAAGCAGAGATTGGATGGCCCCTTGTCAGAGATTTCATAAAGAGGATTCATTTTGTCTTAGGTAGGACATGAGAAGCTGGCTTTCAGTTCTTTCCAGGCCAAAGACTTGAGGCTCCTGCAAGCTGTCTACTTTGGCCCTTTTGGGTTTCTGTTTATGGGCATCTCCATTTCTTCACTCTTCCCTACTCTAAAGTTGGCAACATCTATTTCAAGAGCAAATACACTAGTGTCCTACCTCAATCCCTTCTCCATAGAGGACCTGGCACAGAGCCCCAAGGTTGTTCCCAGGAGGGGTTTGTTCTATCCATGGGGCCCCTACTGTAAATGTCTTCATGATCTCCTAATTGCCAGAACTCTTTTCTACCTTTCTCTTCTCAGAGGGATGCCATTTGCTTAATGTCTGCAGGCTCTCTGTATCCAGGGGCCTTGGGGCAGCACTAATGGCCCCCCCTCTGGTTGGGGCAGGCTTTTTTCTCCATGTCTCTCTGGCTCCCTTCCTTTGGATGGTATATGAAATACCTTCTCCCTTCTCTTGCTCCCATTCCCATCTCTCCCTTCCCCTCCCTTACTGGCTCAGACTTCAAGCTTCCTGTCCCACCTCACTTTGCAAGCTCTCCTTCCGAGAGCTCAGGCTCCCCTCATGCCTAGTGTTTCCTGGGATTTTCTGTACTTGGGGTACTCACTTTTTGGCCATTCTTGGTCCTTGCACAGGCTTCCTCTTAGTTGCCTCCCTCTCCTTTCTCTCTTATTCCCAGGACAGAGATCCCTTGAGACAACAACAATAAGAGAACAACTCATATTGCTGTACAACTCAGAGATGGATATTGCTTTCCTTAAAAAAGCCAAGCTCCACTACTGCTGTAAGGGGAGCCTTTCCCCATTAGAGTGTAAGCCCTTTAAGGGTAGGGCTGTTTTTGCTTGTATTTGAATCCCCTGCCCAGCGCCTGGCACACAGGAGCTTCGAGGTTTGTTGACTGACTGCTTGATTACAAAGCACTTGGCTGGCACCAGTAGGAGTTTGGTAAACATTGTTGATCAAGTCATTGATTGGCCTCTCCCTCCTCTGCTTCCCCCCAGGCCGCTCACCCTTCGGATGTCGGGCTCTTTTCTGGCAGGGACTACTGGGGCAAACACCAAGGAGGGTTACAGAGCTTACGGCTGGACTGGCATTCTGCTTCTTCTGCCCTTCCCCTACCCCAACCCAGGACAGCAATGCAGAGATGTCCTGTTGAGTTAACCAACCCCCACCCCCAAGAGCCTGTGAGTGTAGCAAGCTTCCAGTTGGGATTGTGACTGGGGAAGTACCAGACATCTCTGGACCTGTTTCCACTTGGATAAATTTGGTCTACACCTCACAGGGCACCTCTGGGGATGCTGGGGCTCAGTTTCACCTTTTATAAGAAGGAACCACAGTGGACAAGCCGCCCACAACCTTCGGCATCAGTTTCTCCAGTTCTAAAGAGGGTTAGGGGGAGGCCATCAAAATCAAAGCTGGAGAATGCCAGTATTCATCTGCTAACTTGGGCATGCTAAGCAAGCATTAGCCCTCCCTTGTAAAAGGGGGCAGCTTTCCTAGATGACCCTGTGAGGCCGCTTCCAGCCCTAACTGTGTCTTGCCCTGCTAGGGGCAGAGCAACACCTCAAGCCCTCCCAGCTCCTCCCCCTCTGCTCCTCTCCATCACTGTGGGTGTCCCTCTGGTCCTCCCCTCCCTCTCTCTCTGCACTTTCCCATTCCCTCTCCAGCATCCCCTTATCCATAGGGGGCAGAGCAGGCTCCTTCCTTTCTGTCCTTGGGAGACCTAGATGCAGGGTGTCTCTGAGGGTCTCCTGAGAGAGGTAGGCCTCATTTCTGATCCTTCTCCATCCTCTAGGTGGGAGGATCAAGGGTCTTGGGTTTGGGGGGGCAGGGCCCCACAAGGAGCTTCTGGAGTCACTGAAGCCACTATGGTTGTGTTTCGTCAGGAGTCTGAGTGCGAGGTGCTGCCTTTGGCCTCTTAGGCATGACAAGGATTTTACCAAGTGGCCCTGTGGGCCTTTGGCCAATCAGAAATGGGGAGGGGTGGTTTCTGCAGGGCATTCAATAGGGGATAATTTAATATAATATGATATATTATGTGATTATTATTTTATTTCATTGTTATATAAATGAGATTTCATGAATGACTGAGGGTTCTGCATTTAGGTGAATCATGGAAAAATAGGTGGAAATGTTATTTACTGATGAATAAGGAAGTAGGTAAAGAGACCCCCTGATGACCCTAGGGCTTAGCTTGAGAGAGGTGGACCACCACTGAGGTAAGTGACCCCTTGTGTATTGCTGGGCAGAAAGGGAGCCTTAGCTGCTGACTGGGGGCTCACTCCTCCCCTCAGCCACCTTTTCCCCTTGGCTTCCTGCCAAGAACCCCCTAAAATGTCTGTGTACCTGCTGCGCCCTTAGACTGCACAAACGGACTTTTTTTTTAAGGAATTTGGGGTTAAGTGACTTGCCCAGGGTCACACAGCTAGTAAGTGTCAACTGTTTGATCTGAGGCGGGATTTGAACTCAGGTGCTTCCTGACTTCGAGTCCAGTGCTCTATCCACTGCACCACCTAGCTGCCCCTGTACAAAGAGTCCTAGAGAGGGTCCATCCGTCCAGGACTAGGGTAGGAAGAGACAGGCTGATCGTCCTCCCCCAGACCTCAACCCCCCTTCCTCTCAATCTACCCAGTAAAAGGCACACAGAACATTGAACTGAGAATCAGGAAATCTGGGTTTTGGCCCAGTCCTGCAATGAATGAACCTTATGAGATCAAGGATAGCATTTAGCCTCTCAGAGCCTCAGTTTCCCCTTGTAAAAAATGAATTGGTAGGACTCGGTGATCTCTAACTGACTGAAGTGGAACATTAGAGCCCAAAGAATGCATGCCTCAGCACGTGGATTAATGGACATCTGGGAGCTGAACATTTGGACTCACTCATGACTTCTGAGGACATAGGTTTTCTCTTCCCTCAGGCGAGGGCAGGTGGTAACCCCAGCATCATGTAAGCTCCCTGAAGGCCAGGACGGTTTTGTTCTTCTCTTTGGCTCCACAGGACCTACCTCACCCACTGCCTTGCACAGAGTAGGAACCCTCTACCTGCCGATTTTGCAGTCCTCAAGAAGAGTGTGCACTCTTGGCTGTGGGCCCTTCTGTGGTCTCTCAGACAGGGAACCACCCTAGGGCAGGGGAGCTCCCTGTTGTGGCTCTCTTGGCTTGGCAGAAATATCACTCATTTGCACGTGTGTCTGTTTTTGTTCCAGCTTTGTCCAAGACAAAGACTTAGCTGGCAGCAGACTCCAAAGGCAAGTTACCCCTACCAATGAAAGCCCAGATGCGGTGGGTGACAAGACCCCTGGGGGCCAGGGCCCTTGGTGTCTGTAGCCACTCAGCGCACTGTCCTGCCCAGGCCTTCCTCCTCTCCCTCACTCCCCTAGAGAGCTCTCTGTTTTGTAGGGAGGCCCTGGAGACAGTCCCAGTCTGAGCCCAGCTCCTGTCCTTGCCCCAGAGGCAGGGGCTTCTATCTCTGAGCCTCTCTGCCCAGCTCTGCCCCTGCTCACTGCCTCTGGAGGGGCTCAGTCAGCAGCTGAGGATTCTCAGTGAAGGGCCCAGATGAAAGGGGTGGGGCCTTTTTCCAGAGAGGGAGGGTCTCCATGACCACTGGGTCCTGGCAGGCCTTCTTCACCATTTTTGGACCTTATACCCCAGTGCCACTTTGGCCAGGCCCAAGACACCCCTCTCAGAATCATGTTGGTTTTCACTCAAAGAGGAAGGAAATGCTAACTTGCCCTTAGGAGTTAGATCCCAAAGTGTCAAGTTAGGGAGCCTTGCTTCCAGCCTCCCCTTTGGAAAGGTTTCAGATCTTTCTGTTCCTGTGGACTGAACCATCACAAAACCCAGGGGAAGGAGGAAGGAAAAGGGAAGAAGCCTATCTTCCCACCTACAATGGGCCAGGCAGTATGCTAAAGTCCTTTACATGTCGCTCATTTGAGCTTCACCACAGCCCTGGGAGGCAGGTTCTGTTCTTAGCCCCATTTTACTGTTGTGCAAACTGAGGCAGACAGGTGACATGGCTTCACTTCGGTCCCATGACTAGCAAGTGCCTGAGGACAGCCCTGAACTCAGAGCTGTGTTAAATGCTGGTGTTTTGAAAGGAAGAGATGTTGTGTTTAACCAAGCAGTGACAAAATGGCCCTGCCTGTCCCTCTGCACATTTTCTTTCCCATGTGAACATTTAAATTAAATTTGCTCTTTGTTTGTCAGGTGATAAACCCCTCCCCTTCACTCCCCGAATGGAAACACTGGCTTGTACAAACCTATGGGATGGAACATACCATCTAAACCTGCTGTCTGACCCCGTGCACTTCAGTTAATTTCGATGAAGAAATAGACTGTTTCCCCCCATTTGTTATCACCCCCATCCATCGCCCCATTTCTGAGTACAAGCCCTCCCTTATAATAAATCAGTATGGCCTCAAATCCCCAAAACACATGTTAGCAAGTCAGGCCTTGGGCAAGCTACCACCTTTCAGTAGTCCCCAGGCCAGGGGCCTCAACCTCCAATAAAAAAGGTTCCCTGAGGGCCAAATTGACTTAGAAAGGCAGAAATGAGCATTCTCTACTTTGATGTCTGTTGTTTATTCTGCTCAGCATTTCCCAATTCCATTTGAATCTGCTTTGGGTTTCCCCCACCTCAGCGAACTGTTCCACCTCTGCTCTAAGGAAATCTCTAAGACTAAGTGCAGAGAAAGTGCCGGCCTCCAGAGGGAGGAGTAAGGGGGAGTTTTCTCCCCCTGGACAAGGAGATCACAGCTCCAGTCCCTAACCCAGCTTGCCTGAAGAGCTTCCATTGCTTTATCTGAAAACTGTCTCTTCATCTCCTTTGCCCTCTCTTCTAGGAGACCAGGTCTTTCCTGCCCTCCCCAAGCCCATGGCAATGGAGGCTGAGTAGCTTAATCTGCTGAAGGCCCTGCCCCAGCCCCATGGCTCTGCTTTGAATAGGAGAGAAGCTGGGGGAGCTGGGGAGGGGGCCACCAAGGTAAGCTTTCTCCCCACCTCCTCCTACCTTGCTCCAGAGAAAGCATGGTTACCCCCTCCCAACTCTGATGGCTAAGGTTTCCCTTAGAGTTAAGGGGGTGGAGGAAATGTTGTTTGAAAAGGTCAAGGATAGAGGAGAGCTGGTAGGCCACAGAGCAGGGCTTCCAGAAGAGCAGCAGCAATGGGCCACATGATGGCCTAGAATGATTGGAGTAAGGCAGAAATAGAGGAAGAGGAGGAGGAGGAAGCAGCAACAGGCTGGCTTTTCCGCCCAGGGCTGGGAGAACGGCTGACCGAAACCAGGGAACCAGGGCAACAGGGGGATAGAGAGACCCAAACCAAGAGGAGATTTGTGGAGAGGACAGGGGACCCCATTCAGGCCTTAGTGTCTGCTGCTTTGATGGTCCTGATACAGAGCTGAAGCCAGGTCGGGGAATGAGAATTGGGGAGCAGGGAAAGAACAAACAAAGGAGAGAGAGATGTGGCCTGACTCTTCCTTTCACGTGACCTTCGCAGTCTGGTTTCTCCCATCCTCCTTCTCCCTCCTTTGGAAAGGTGGTCAAGGAACTCCCCTTTTGCAGAGGCCCAGCCCAGGCTCCTTGCCTGGACAGTGCCCTCAGCCTCTGGGCTTCCTTGGTCCCTGAATCCAATGTACATCCGCAACAGTATGCATACACCTGCCTCCAGTGACCCTATGTGCCTGCTGTCCATTCCAAGGTCCTGCAGCCACGTCCAAGAGTCCTCGAGGCAACAAGAGAAACTGCCTTCCAGTCACAGAAAACGATTACCCGTTCTCAAGTGCGTAAGAAAAAGGAGGATGTGGCTGTGAGGCAATCGGCACGCCTTATGATGAAGCAGAAGAAGTAGTCCAAGAAGCAGGTGGTTAAAGAGGAGTATCAGATCAGAGTTGAGGCCAAGAAGAAAGCAAAAGTCCAGAAGAAGAATCCAACCTGTGGGGAGGTAAAAGCCAAGCGCCCTGCAGCGGTCCCCTGTGGCAATACTGGCCGCCGTGGTCAAGCTGGTCCCCGTGGCTGAGCTTGTTCCCTTGGTCAAGCACGCCCCTGGGGTCTTGCTGGCCAAGCCGGGTCCTATGACAAAGCTGGTCCCCACTCAGCTCAACCACCTGGGAAGCTCCCACAAGGCAAGAAAGGTATGAAGAAGTACGACCAGAGAGGCAGGCTGAATCTGAATGGAGAAGACCTCTGTGACTGCCTGGAAGAAGATTTCCTGGGCTGCTTCTACCCATGCCCAGAGTGCCAGTCCACCAACTGTGGGCCCAACTGATGCCAGACCCAGAAGTAGATTTACGAGGCCACCGCTAAGGAGAGTGGAAATGTGGTCAGTAACTTCCCATTTCCCCATGCTAAGTAAGGGCCTGAGCTCCACGTGCCTATGTGTCTCTGTGTGTGTATCTCGTGTGTCTCTGTATGTCTCTGTGTGTCTCTGTGTGCCTCTGTTCCTGGCTGAGCATCCCTGCCTGGAGAGGAAGCTGGCCTGGCAATCCTGACTCCTGTCGCTCCCCAGCAGTATTGCCATGAGCACCTCAGGAGCTTGCCCTCCCCTTCTCCCAAATGCCTTCACTCTGAGCCCAGGCGTAGGTAAAAATGCAGGTGAAAACCAAGAGGGCTTCCACCCATAGGGGACCGCAAGCAGCCATCTTGCCTGAGATTTCCTGCCCACATCTCCTAAAGCTGAGTCTTTTGGAATTTGAGAATTTCCTTCCACAGAAGGTGCATCATGGTTCCTGCCCTGCCCCCCTTCCAGCTGCAGCCATCCCTAGAGCCAGGCCAGAATTCTCCAGGTTCCTAAAACTCTTTCCTTTCAGTTAGTGCTAGATATACAAAAAGCAAAAGAACAAAGACAAAAGTGATCTTTCTCCATTTGTCATGTGTTTGTTGTCACGTCTAGATGGTCATGTAGGTGTCTGTCCTATGTTGTGTCTGTGATTTTCTATATGGTTACTGCGGTTCTAGAGTTGGACTTTCTGACAACTACCACTTGCCTAACTGCTTTTTGGCTCTCATCTTGTTGCAGGTATTAAAGGAGTCTGGATTCTCCTGGGACTCTTCTCAGAGTCTCCCTTCTGCAGTTTATGAAGTGGAAAAAAATATACATATATACACATATACTTAAGATAGTTTTGAAATTCCACAACAGAAGAATATATATTGTTAAAGTGAAAGCAGATAAAAAAGAATAAAAAAAAAGTTTGTGAAGTTAATTTATCGTTGCCTTCATTTCAGAACAACAGGGAGAGAGGCTGCACACTCTCTCTGCCAGGCACTGTGCTAATCGTTGGGACCCACGGGTAAACCTCAAGCAATCCCTGCCCTCAAGGAGTTTTATTTCAGCCCACTTAGACACCTGGCAGATGGAGAAGGGCGCTCCAAGAGTGGTACTCTGGATAGGCCTCTCCTGTGGCCCAGCATGCCCAGCTACACTTCTCTGGTTATTCCCCTGAAACACTGTTAGAGACTGCTAGGCTCTCACTTCCTCCCCCAGGCCAACACAGACACACAGACACACATACACACACACACACACACACACACACACACACACCATACACACAGAAAGGGGGGTGAGGGAGAAGAAGGGGAAGAGCAAAGATCCATGGGGATGCACGAGAGGAACAGAGAGGGAAGGGGCTTGGTGAGCTGGCCAGAGTCCATGCAGTGGCAAAACAGGGTGGGTAAGGGCCTCAAGTCCTGTATTGGGCAGATGGGGACAGTGAACGCGGAGAAAGGTTAAGCAGTGTGACCTGCTCACCCTCTTCAGTGAGGATGGGCAGCTCTCATTGGAGGGCTGTCTTGTGGGAGAAGAATGACCCTTGTTTCCTTTGACCCCAGGGAGTCAAGCAGGTGGGATGGCTGGAAATTGCAAGGGGGGATTTGGCCTCCATGGGAGTGGAAGGGGTGGTCCCTGGAACTGGCTAGTTCCTGCACACTGGAAGTTTCCAAGCCAGATAGCACGCATGATGCATGCTTCTAGCCAATTTACCTTTAAGGCAGAGACACTACTTACTTACACCCTTTCCTCAATGACTAAACACTGAAACCTCTCCACACGTGCAATCCAACTTTATTAGTCAAATAGAGCAAACCATATGAACAACAGCCAAGTCTCAGAAGGAACCATTAGCCTGCTTCCTAGTAGTCACAGTAAGAATCTTTTCCACTGGTGGTCATGACAAGGTACCCTCTGCCGAAACAGAGACCATGTGTTTCCCTCGGAAGTGGGGGGCCAGCAAGTCTCCCTACATCTGCCCAGTCCACAAGCAAACACTGGCTGCTGAAAGCTGGGGTGTGTCCCAGATTGGCCCTGGGAGCAGGCTGCTGGCTGGGGCCTCCAGGGCCTTCGCCTTCTGCTGTTCATGCGTACTTTCCTTTGCTCACCACATACATCAATGGTGTGGTCCTTCGTCACGTAAGATAATGATAAAGTGTTATATTTATCGGATGGTCCATCCTCTCTGGGAGTCTGCACGCACTTACTAACTGATGTGCCGTCTTCTGGATCTGAACATACAAACAGTTATGTTGTACTGAAAAACAGCTTCCTCAACACCACTTGGTCACACACAGAGGCTTCATCTTAATAAGGCAGTGAAACCTCTCCCCACGCAGGGGCTAGATGGCCATTTGCCAGGCACCTTCTCCTCCTCTGGGGCTGGGGTGGGCTGGATGGCTCTCCCTTTCAGTTCCCAAAGTCCATGATTCTTTGGGAAGAGAGGGAGCAGCATCCATGAAGGCTGCAGAACCGCAAGAGAAAGGGGAGCTCCTCTGATCTCTCTGATCTCTTCTGGTGCCCGGCCATCCCGTCCATT